GGCCATTCGTGCGACAGTGAAAGTGGCCTAATTCTGGACCGGAAAATGAGTTCACGCGGGGTCAGGAACTATGTGTGCGCTAATACAGCGTCCTCACTCGATACGTGCTCGACGTTTATTGTGCCATTATGCTTTGTTACAAACGCATAAGCGCTTGGCAACGGGAATACGTAAGATATACATGTTTATAGTCCAATAAAGAAACGTGTGTGAAACGCATGGCATTATGTCACGTCGAAAATATTGGCATAACTGGTTAGATCGAGCGGAATCGAGAAGAGGAAAGTGACTGTCCGCGATATCTCAAAGGTACAAAATTTTACGCGGGTTACGTAATTTGTGTTATTATTTCCATTGTTTCACTAATCTGTTTTTTAGTAATCGCAACGGATATGCTTTTCTTTCTCCCAAGCACGATGTGATACGTCATTATCGAAGTCAATATTTTTTTTCATTATTATTCAAAATGCTAATTTTCGTGATATCATTAAAAACAGCAGTCCAGCTTGAACCTTGAACAAACCTTGATGCGACAAAAATTCAATAGGTGAAATAAATATGCATTCGGACCAATGTTACGAGTCATAATAAAGATATGTATATTTGGAATATAATCAGCACTTTGAAACTCCACACTTATCTGCTATTTTTGCATTTAACATAACTTAGCTTAATCACATTTCGCTACGTAATAATATGTTCTTGTCAGTGTCACAATTAGACCATTGCTACAAATCGCTAATCTGCAATTTTTCTACTATAATACCTATTTGTGATAATATCGATAATTGCCTGTTAAAAATATTTCAATAATTGCTGAAGTAAAATGCTCTGTGATAGAACCGCAATCCATTCTTGCTGTAGATGTAAGAGTTGGATTTATATAATTCTTATTATATCAACGTTAATGATATAGAAATTAGAATTAAATTGCATCAGTGAACGTGCTTTTCACTTTCAAAGTTCGCGCTTGCGCGCCAGATACAAATATATTCACGCGTTTTCAAAATGTATAATGAAAACGACTCGTTTGTTGCCGGTAATGTTCTTCGGCATCACGGTTTCCTCGCGCGTTTTCACCCGCACATCCGTGCGGACTTTCTTGCTTACGTGCCTGCTTACGTACAACTCGGCGCTCTCGTACACCTAACTGCCGACGTAATTTCTCCTTCGCCATTGTTACTCTCAAACGATCTCGCAATCGTCGTCTCCCTCTTGTGACATGCTAATCATCCCCGGCGCTCGTTACGTCGAAACAGACGACCCAAATAACGAATTTCGTCTCGACGCGCCGATAACAGTCGCGCTCTCACGTTACGAAAGATTTTCACGGTCGATTAATCGGAGAAAAAGCCTTAGACGCAGTAGTCTCGAAAAAATTGACACACGTAATGAATTCCTGAGCTGATCCGTTACTTTTGACGCACGACTAGGCAATGTAAGAGATGCATTTATAATTAAAATAATCAGTAATTTATTTGTTCCGATCATAATTGGAATTTTGGCGTCGAGATGTTACTTTGTCAATCAATAGTATATTAATTACGATATTGATCTGTAAGGACTTTTTGCGATCACATATTAAATATACATATTATGCAAATGATGCTGGCTGTGCGTGAGTCATAATTTCAATGAGGCGGAAAAAGCTTTTGGCAAAGTATCAATCTTCATGCACTTTAAACGCGGTGTTTACATTGCGCGACTTCAGCTGTCGTATAATATTACAATATTGTGGAATATCATTATTTCATTGAAAGATGCAGGCGTGCCGTCACGTGTTTTGTATCTCTCTCGCCTCGCCCGTATTTTACGTGCGACTAAAACCTCACCGATATTCAAATTTACGAATACATTCGCATTTGTGAAAATGCATGAAAGTCTATTGTCGTTTCAAATACATAAATACGACATTCCGACCAGGCTGGTCAAGGCTGTGGCACGACTGATTTACAATTTATAATCAACTCCCGATTTTGAGAATGCTTTGACAGCCGCAGCTCACACGTGTCATTGCGATGAAAGATATGAGCAAAGTACAATCTTTTGCATTTAATTAAAGATAAAGCAAAAATTAACTTTAATTAATTAGTTAAATAGATTTTTCTAAATATGTATCGATAACTATTATAGCTTCATTCATGATTAAAAGCATTCGCGCGCGCACTGAGAGAAAGGAATAATGACACCAGCCATATTTTTGTACATGTTTTAATATGATTGATTATATGTTTAGCAATACTATGCGATTATTATTGCTAACATTATACTAACAATTCCTACAAAAATGAGTATTGTGACTATAATTATAGTATCATGCAATTATAATGCAACATATCATATATTTTTCTCTCAATGTGATTTGAAATTAAGATTTTATCGGATTATACATGTATAATTGATATTACAATAGAAATTGCGCGATAAAAATAAATTTATATTCTTTGCAGACGGAAAATTTCATATATTCACGCAGGCGTAAATCCATCTTATCTAAAATAAGATTAGTGCTGTGGATTTTACTCGAAATGTAGCACTATTCTGAAATTTTCGCACGGTTTAAACATGACTACGGTCGCGTCTCGTTCACCTCGCGTGGACAGAGACAAAGAGACTTTCCGCTGCCGGGTAGCGCGCACTTTTTGGACACGGTGTACGCTTCTGACGGCGCGCTCGCATACTCGCGTGTGAGCGCGCGCGGATCGAGCGCAAGCACGGGGGGGAAGCGCGCGTGTTAGCGACAAGTCTCCACCCACCATGTGAGATCATTGCGATTACGTAAGTGTCCAGCCCGCGGTGTGGCGGGCATAAAAGTATCGTGTGGCATGCCGCTTCAGTGGACGGTATTCGCCGTTGTTTTGCCGATGCAGTTCTATACAGCGCGATCTTGAATTTCGCGAGAAAGGAGAAATCACAGCGCGAGCGAAAAAAAAGGCATCACGGTCATCTTTTAGTAAAAAATCGACATCGTCGATTTTTCAAAATGAATTTCGACGACAGCAGCAGGAATGGCACTTTTAATACGGGAAATCAAGGCTTATGCTGTTTACTTAATATTGCGTATCGCAACTTAACGCCGCGATCGTAGACATGTTATCCGAGATTTCTTTGGGATAACGCGATGCAAATTATAGGATGATAATATCACGCTGAGACGTAATTGGCGCGCAGTTAATATTCCAACTACGTATGTATATTACCTCGAATTAATTATGCGGCGCGTATAATCCGTCGTTTAAATTCGCGCGCAATTCGAAAGGATTGCGATGAGAGACGGGTGTGGTGATGCGGCCGTAACAGGATGCACTTTTCTCGCCTACACTTATGCAACATCTTTGTAAAGCTGACGGAAGTCACCTTCACCGCGCTGTAAAACGAGAAACAGCGGCTTCGCACACGTCGAGTAAAATATTGGCTAAAAAAGAAACGATCGATCCGCCAAAATGATGAAATTCTCTAGAAGAATCCATAGACGAAAGGAGAATCGATCGCAATGAATAAAGTTGCATAACATCTGAAAAAGATCGATACAACACATCGGAAATCGCCGATGACCACCGCGACAATCCCGTCACGAGCGACCAAGCGTGAATGAACAAGCGGATGATCGGAGGCTTAGATTGCCCCGTCGATCAGCGCGGAGTTTCATCAATTTTCTCGGGCGATTTGATCGATATCGATCGGCAGCCGTGTGTTTCTCTTTCACAATGTCGATGCGCGACTAGGCGGATCCACTTCGCGGGACAAACAGCGCGAGAACGATAGAAACATAATTATTCAAGGCTGTGCCGGGCGGCACAACAGGATTGCCTGATTAGCTATGTAGATGAAAGTCACGTTACGATTAAAGTGCGACAGCTATCGCGATAAACGATCATATGGAATTCTATGCAAGTGTCCTACGCTGCGCTTCCGGCGGTGCTGAATGGATAGCAGCTGCGAAATCGCTCGCAATGAAATTGGCATTATCGAAAGCGGCATTAAATCAACAGCAGAAACCCATTTTCGCGATAATGAAAGTGAGAGAGATGACAATAACATTCCGCTCTTGATTCTCGGTGGTTTCACTTTCTAAAAATAACTATCGTATCACCGATCTTGAATTATTATCCCGATCCTTCGGACGTCTATCGGAATAACGCACGTTTCTTTTTTCTAGACCGAAATTTCGGTTTCGGTTTCGGTTACGGCCAGTTTCGGCCAAAAATCAAGGCTTTCGACTTAATTTCGGTTTCGGCGGAAACTAAAAAAAGTGGTTTCGGTCGGACTCTACTTTATAATATATTATTTTTTATTTTGTAATATTGCGTTTTATTTGTAAAAAATACTTTATATTTTAATAAGGTATTAATAAAATCATATTTTTAAAACAGTACATAAATTTTACACATTTTCCAACGGTTTTTTAAAAATCATATAGCTTTTTATAAAACTCCTCCAAAAATTTCGGTTTCTGTTTTGGTTTCGGCTAAAACTAAAAAAAGTGATTCTATTTTTCCATCTTGTCCTCTCTACGTGGATTGGCGCTTCAACATGAATTTTTTTCAATAATAACTTGTTTTCTACCGAACTACAATCGGATGAAAGGATGATATTAACGTCTTCCACATCTTTCACATTATGTTGAAATTTGCGAGCGAATTTTCCGTTTTATTTGTATTATTATTAATGTACACTAAAGAAGGCCTGATGGCAGGTCGAAACGTTTGATTTTTTGTAAACAATTTAACAAATATATTTTAAACTTTGCACGAAGAACTAGCATTGTGGCTCTTTATGCTCCTATTAATTTTAAATGATTTTTGTAATCAGTTGAGCCTTATATTTTATTAATTTAAAAAAAAGTGATTTCGGTCGGACTCTACTTTTTTCCCTTTCATTTTTAAGCGGATATGTCGACTTTCCGCTAACTCGCCGACGCAGAGTCGCAGGTTAAGTTTTTCCAAGGAGCATAAATGCATTATTGTCATAATGCGAAATGACAAAGAGAGTTAACTTACCGCGAAACGATCTTCACTCGACATTCCTCGTTTCCGCCTGACTCATTTACACGCCACGGCAAGGCCACGCCAAAAGCGGCGATCTCGGCTGTATTAAAATACACTCGTGAGGTGTTCCCGACGTGAGGAATGTAAATGCAGCGTGAGAAGTATTCCGCGTACAGCGCTGGAAAAAAAAAATTTATTTACATCTTCCGAGGATACTCCGGTTCTTTTTTCTCGCTTCTGTCGACATTAAAAATCTCTTCGATTGTTGATGAGCTAATAACAATGCTTGCAGTTGATAAAAAATGCCAGAAGCTTACATAAGTCAATACTTGTCTCATAACGATATGTATCCGGTAACAACAGGACTGTTGGCAGAAATATAATGGTTAATTTTATAATTTATACAATGATGTAGCAATAATAATGTGCATTTCTTTTAAGATTTCTACTCTTTAATTTTATCTATTTTATTTTATTTCGAGCCGCGCAATAATAATAAATCTGGAGCGGTAAAGTGCAGTGTCCGTATCAGCGTGAGGCAGAAACAAACATCCATTTATCTGTTTTCTCTCTCACTTAAACTCTGCAGATTCCCGTCATTTTTTTCCGACATAAAACTTTGCTTCGATAAACGTTGAGAATGCGAACGCGCCCCCTCGGATCCGGAACGGAGCGATGTTGCGCGTCTGTCGGACGGAAACTGCGACGAGGAAGGAGGAGAAAAAGAAGGAGGAAGACGAGACTGCAGAAAGGGGGATAAAGTGAGTGGAAAGAGGAAGAACGAGGAGCGCGAGGGGGACGCGGGGAGGCCACCGAGTCATTCTTGCGTAACACGCAATGCATGCACGCGTATGTGCACGCGTCTCTCTCTTTCTCTCTCTCTCTCTCTCCCGCGCATGCACCGATGACGAGACGTGGGTGTATGTAGATCTCCCAAGTAGCGAAAGGTCATCCGCTTAATAGTTCTCGATAGCGCACGCAGGCACGATCGGATCTCTGCGGTGACTAATCCGCGGCCGTAGGTGCCCATCCAGGCGCGGCGCGTGCATCTCTCGCGCTGCGCAATAAAAGCTGCAGTTGACGAGCCCGCCGCTCTTTGACATTGAGCGCATCCGAATCTCTAGCGCGCGCGCGTCATTCCTATTTCCACTCTCACTTAGCTCCGCGATGTGGAACAAAACCGAGCGTTTAAAAAAATTAACATTCATTACGCAAGCGCGAAAGTATTCGGTGACTTTCCGAAGGAACAATTCTTCAATGTTACGTCTCTAATTTGAATAAAAAAGATTTCTGCGCAGATTTACGTAATTTGCACGAGCTAGTTTAATATGCTTCTCTGCTTGTACCGGAATTAACAGCAAAACAGATTATTTGAATATGAATTTAGAGTTGTTTACGATGCTGCATATACGATATATGAAAGCGTTTGAAGAAGTATAAAATAGAAATTATTAATGCAATGCGCGCAAAAACGCGCAGAACGCTTGAGAAAAATTCAATGTGAATTTGTACATAAATCTAGCTATGAGATTTGGAGAAAAAAATTATCACCGTTGCGTTTGTATCGAGAATACAGCGAGATGCTTTGCGAAAATAATTTAAGCTTGCAGTAATCGCGATATAATAGCGAGGAAAGCATCGACGTTTCCTAAATATTAGCTGTCGGATCCCGCTGATTAGACGCCAATTAAACGTTCCTCGACACAAAAAAGTGCTAAATGATTTAACGAAGTATTGAGAAATATTAGACAATATCGAAAAGCGAATATTCGACAGACCGCAAACAGACGCGAAGATTTCTCGTTCGTCGGGCAACATTTCTTCTCATTCATTATATTTTATTCCTTCTCTCTAACATATTAAATATACTTACAATTTTACTCGACCACCAGAATGCTATCATTTTACGTATCTTTATAAAAGCATAGCTGGCAATTACAATTTGTGAGAACGCGCGCTTATCCGGCAATTTGCGTGGTTAGTAGAAGCGGTTTACCTGCATATCGTAGTCTTTACACGTAATCAAATTACTCGTTTTACGGCGATTTATGTAATCCGAACGCCGACGCGGCGTCGCCGCGCGCTTTTTCCACGATGTGCAAAAGTCGCGGATCCGCCGCGACGAAAGCGCGCCAAAGTGTATCCGAGGAGCGCGCAGCATCTCAGAGCAGGGATTGAAACCGGTATAATTTCGCTGAGTTTGAATTTCAATCTTACAGACGCATGAGAAAATAATCTGTATTTTTTTGTAATTATAGAAACGCTATAATGTTGCCAGAAAGTGTGCACTCCGCATCTACTGAAAATTGAAGTTGCCATTTTCGAGCCAGGACGGTTCACTTTTTCAAGTTTCGAGCTAATAATTTCCGGGAATCGAAGGAAAAGTCTGCCACTCTTATTTTGCACATTGCACAATTTTAAATTAATCGACGATCGCAAAAAGGGGCCGTTAATTCCGCAATGGTTTTCCCGAGTACCTGAGATCTTGCAAGAAATTCAATTCCGCGAGTTTCCGTCTGCCTCCACCGCGATATCTGATGTCAGAGACGATGCTGTCGTGAAATGCAACGCCATTCGAGCGTTAACATTAAGGGAACGGCGGCTTTTAATTGCGCGGCGTGCAGCGAGAGACTCTTGATAATAAACTCGCCGAAAGTACTCGCCAAGTATTCTCTCCCGACTTCCTCGATACATCATAAAAATTACCGAAATGTTATCCGCGGCTCGTGGTATTTAAATTACTTTCAAAAGACCAAACGGACGGCCGTGAGTATCTTCGGCGGCGATCTCGTACGCAGGACAGGAGTGCTCTTTGGATTATACGGCAGCGGAGGCGACGTCGTCCGTTTAAGAGAAACGATCGTGCGTTACGTAAGAGAACGCGGTGTGGAGACGTTCGTGGTATAAAGGCCGATTCACATACTCATCGCCTCACGTACTTGCATACATTTATACCCGGGCAGGCGTGTGTGCGTGCGTGAGCAAGCGCCATGCGGAATCGGCGTAAAAGAATAAATGGAAGTAACTCTGCGATTACACGAAGTCAGCAAAGAGGTAAATTGAATCGTTTAAGTTTCTCGCGGCACGACTAGTTAAGGTAGGTTCTCCAAAAGATACGCCTCCGCGAGCGAAATCGGAACTCGAAATTCCGTGAAACTTTGTCGAAGATTTTCTACGAGATGAAAACGCATTCGTCCCGTCGACTATGATTCATCGCCGATGTTCCGTTTTTTTTTTTTTTCGTCGAATCTTTGGCGCAATTTCATTACGCAACGCGCGAAAAAGCGTCCTTTTTTTTCTCCTCAAATATTACATCGGATATTATTCTCTTACTCCGCCAGATGCTAAAAATACTATTTAATGACGGCAAAAAGGTGTTTTGGTAGAGTGCAATAATATGCATTGCGAGCGCTCGAAGGCCACAATTCATTTCGAATACAGCTTTAATTGCTACGCTGTTCAAACTAGCCGTTTTCTTATTATATAAATATCCAGCCAACGAGAAAATCGCAAATCAGTCGAATTTACTTTCGAAGATTGACAGTGATAAAGCGCGCAGAGGCGGATTCCCACGGTCACCGCGGCGGCCTTCATGATTTCTTCGTGTGCACTTGATTTTTGCCGATTTTGGTAGCGCAGTAGCGCGCGTGCGCGCGCGCGCGCGTGCTCCGATCGTTCCATGAAACACGCTGGAAACACGCAGAAGAGCACAGCGCACGCGTACACCGAGCTTGCCCTTCAGATCCACAATGATGGAGCGTGTCTATTAGAGGAGGCGATTGTTCTTATATAATGAATGGATCATGTAACTAGCCGCTTCGCGGACTCGCTCCGGCGGCGGGGGACGAGAGAGAGAGAGAGAGAGAGAGAGGAGGGACGG